AAAATAGAGCTTTGATATATACTCATTCTACATATTTTCATAATGAAATTTCATACTAGAACATATACCTATGTTTCATAAATTATTGCATAATTTTTCCACCTACCAATTTTTGATCAAATGACAATGTTCAAGTTCAACTTTATAGGATGAGAAATTTTTCTATTATTTCTATACGACAACGTAATTTAATTAAATTTTTATTTATAAACAATTAACTCAAAAAATATACCGACGTATAATCTATATTCCAACGGAATATTGAAAGTAATATTACCTTTTAATAAATTTTACAATGGAATAGGTTTTGAAATATTATATTTAAAAATCAAGGAAAAATCTACTCAATAATTGTAAATAGAAGCAAATTTAAACTTGATTTTAAATGATCCCTAAAAATGCATGAAATCGGTTTGAAATTATTTCGTTATGTTTAAAATTTTATTGTTAATTATACAATGTGTTAGTTGGGTAGATTTATTTTATAAGAAAATTCAAAACCAACAGCTGGGAGATTTGGCAAGAATGCTCTGTCTTTGGATGCAATATTTGTATTTTAATAATTTCAAGATAAAAATTATTGAATTAAGTCTATAATAAACAGTAATTATTGATACTTATTCATAAGTAAAATCATATTACAAAAAATTCACTATTATAAATATACTAAAAATACTACGTACACTAAAAAAATGAAAATATACATTCAATGACATTTCCATTTTATAATAATTTTTAGTATGATCAAAAACCAAAAAATATCACATATCTATTTTGGCAAAACAAAATAGAAACATGTTTTGAAATTATTAATTTCCGTGAATATATAATTGAACTCGATGCTCATCCAGTTTTTAGACAACCTTGAATAATATATGTATAATAATTATATTAAAATACTCAATATTTTGTTTAAAGTATTAAAATACAAACTATTTTAATGTACCAGTATGTTTTACCAAATCATATGTAAGTAAATATTTTACTAAAAATACTATTAAAGGTAATTGTTTTTATTTAAAAAAAAATTGACTTCTATATTTATTTATATAGCATTGATAAAAGTGATTCTTTTAATATTAGCCATCTTAATTCTCTTAAAATAATAATTATATTATACAAATTCTTTTTGGAATTATTTTATTATATAAATTTTAATTTCGGTGCGAAGCTGAGAAGGTATTAGTTTTACTATGATGTGTTTTTTTTTTGTTACCACTTTTTCTCAGTTCTCACCGAACCGGTTTCTTTCAACGAAAATCATAAGATCACAAATCGTATTTAGTCGAAGACATTACCCTAAAAATCTCCAAAAAAATTACAAATTTAAAAATCGCTAATTTTTGATATTTTTTCAATTTTGTTACTTAAAATTGCCATTTTTTATAATTTTTAAATTATTTTTTTATCATAATTTTTTTTAAATCGATGTAATTATTTTATAAGTTTGACCTTTTACCTGTCCACAAGGTGGAATTCAATATGATAACTTTTCACAAAAAATTTACTTTTTCAACTTAAGCTTTGAAAGTGTTCCGGAAACTCAGACACTTTTATATATATTTTATATTAAAGTTAATGTTATGTACTTTATTATGAAAAAAACAAATTTCGGACTTTATTTTGTCTTCAGGGTGAAAATGGCAACCGTATGTTATTTTTGTGTTAAAATTCTCGATCTTATATTTTAAATTTTAACTTTATAATGCTATAACTTATTGAAAAATGTATGGATCATTATAATTTTTTGAAGAGAAATATTATTTATATATTTCTTTTATTCGACATATTTTTTTTTTTTATAACGGACAATTTCCCTATATACAGGGGGGTTCAAATCTGAAAATGCATATAGAATGTATAACTTTTTCAACTGAACTTTTGAAATTGTTCCGGAAAGTGTTACATTTATATATATATATTAAATTAAATCTTATGTAATATATTTTAATATGAAAAAGAAAAATTTCAGACTTTAGTTTGTTTTCATGGTGAAAACTAACATCAAAGTTAATAAAAAAATTCTATTTTATATTTTAATTTATAAAGAAAATGACTAAACGAAAGTTTTACATCTGAAGTTATTAAAATTTTAAATTATATTGTATAACGCTGTTATAAAATTTTTATTAAAATAACATTGTTATAAAGTTGTGGAAAAGTACGACAAAGTAATGCATAATGATAAAAATAACATAATCTTCATATATACTCAATATTTTAAAATGATCGGTCTAATGTAATTAAATATTAGTAATTTTCATAAACTTATTGGATTGACATTAAATGTTGCAAAACTTCTGTTCATCGTAATATCAAAACTAACACATTAATCAATTTATAGTAATTCTTTTGTCATAGACAAATTAATTTGGTTACTTACCCTGTCCCTCTTATAGGACTGTAATATTTGACTTAAAATATTGACAAAATGAAAAAAAAAATTAAACAACACGAAAAATAATGATTTTTTCAAAAAATACTTTTTTTGTTCTAATTTTGCAACCATTTGCAAATAAATTTAGAAGATAAATTAGTTGTATGGCTATTAAATAACGAAATTTTCTAAGTAAATTTTTGTTATTAAAATTTTTTAATGGTATACATATTCCTTCTTCTATATACTCCCTTTCACGTTTGACACAACGCTCCATTCTAATTTTCTATTAGTTGAAATTGTATTATTATATTGGAAACTAACATCAAAGTTAATAAAAAAATTCTATTTTATATTTTAATTTTATAATACTATAACTTTTTGAAAAATATATGGGTCTATACAATTTTTTATGATAAATACTATTCATAAACCTCTTTCATTCGACATACTTTTTTTTTTAATAAAACCATTTTCCGTTATATATTTATATATAATATATATATATTACGTTTATAAATCATAAAACTTGTAATCAGAATATAAATAAGGAAATAGGAGATCATGTAGCTTTTGGAATAATCCACCAATTTTTTAAAATTAAACACTATCTAAAGATTTGCATCGAAGCGTTTTTTACGATAGTGATTTTAATCACTGTCAGATATCATTATACTTGACCCAACTATGCCACGTCACCACTGTGCCGCGACACCCCCGTGCTTGTTATTTTTAAATATTAATTATTAAGAATATTTTTAATTCAAATGTTATACATTATAAGTATGTCAATTTTCTTTTTTATATGGAATCATACATATTTAATTAGCTTATTAAATAAAAAATCAATTTGAAAAAATTACTGCTCAATAAAACTTTTGAAGTAGTACTTCAGAAGTTATTAACATTTTTAAATATAAAGTGAAGGAACATAATGATAAAAATAACATTACTTATACCTCACAACCATTCTTTATTTTAAAATAATTATAATTTCCGAAATAATGAGTCAAAAATTATTATCGAACTGTCATTTTCTTAGATTAATTTTTATGTTATATCTTTTTGATACGCCATCTGCAAATATTTCAGATGCTTCTGTTTGATTATTTCAAGTTTTTACAACCATTTTGCTAACCCTTTTTGTAACTTATTTTTTATATCCACTACTTCAACATATTATTGTGTTGAATGGGTACTTGTAAATCGGTTTATTGTAAGGTTGTTTTGAATATAGCAGGAGATTTAAGCGAACTAAATTTTGTACAGCTTCTGTTAATATGAGTTTGTCCAATATATTTTTTTGCGTATGTACTGTGTGATTTTTTATCATAACCCACTCAATTACTTACAGAATAAATATAATTAAAACATTTTTTTTTTTTTTAGTATCTTTAGTTACACATTTTTGAATTATTAACTTTGTAATACTTTTTAAGTTCATTCTTAATGTTTTTTAAAATGGGAACACATATTTTGAATTTAATAAAATGTTTGAGTTTTTAATTTAATGGTAAATGACATTTTAATATAACTTTATTCGTTTATTAGATATAAACATTTAAAGTTTCAAATTTTTGAGTTTATATACACGTATAATACACAAGGGATTACAAATACAGGTAGCTAATTGGTTTTTTATGACGTTGCTGTCACAGTCACGGACTGTTTATTGTCAATTACGACTATCAATAAATATACTTTCTGTATTGTCAGTTAGTGTATTTATAAAATCACAACAATGTGCCTTACTACCATTGATACTAAATGCTGTATACCTGCGAATATCGACGTCTTAAAAAACCAATTAGCTACCTGTATTTGTGTCTTTTGTGTAAATTGTTTATATGTTTAAATATTTTGACATTATATCAGTGACTAATATTGAAATAATCATTCAGTATATTGCATTTATTTATATCAAAATAATCAAAGTATTGGAAATAAAGGCAACAGTCGATCCAAAAACTACAATTGAATCATGTACGTTCACTTTAAAAGTAAGTAACATTTTTGCATTTTTTCAAATGGGAACACATATTATGAATTTAATAAAATGTTTAAACTTTTAATAGTAAATGACATATAAATTTTGACATAACTTAATTCATTTATTACATATTAGACTGTAAAATTTAAAATTTTTTAATTTATATACATGTGTACATGTATATACATCATATTTACAATGTATATATGATGGATTACAAATATAGGTATTAAATTTGTTTTATATGGCGTCGCTATTCGCAAATAAGCAGCATTTATTGTAAATTATGAATTTATCAATAGATATGCTTTTTTCATTGGTGTAATTATAAGCTCACAACAATGTACCTTGCTACAATACTTTAAGTATATATGTTGATGAAGTCATAATTGATAAATTATTATTGATACGTAATTTATTATTAATCATTCAAATATCATAGTGTACTAAATTTCAATACATTTTTTAATAAATTGAGATTAAGTTATATTTTAAGTTTAAATGACGTTGATTTTTTGTTATAATAAATTTATTAACTATTCTAATATAACAGTTTATTGTTCTATATTTCAAATAAAGGAAAATATTATATGTGAACTCATTTAGCATTTATCATAATAAAAAATAATATTGATAACTAAAGCTTTATGAGTAACTAATTGGAGAAAAGCAGGATTAATATAATATTTAATTATTAAACTATATCACTATTTAATATTTTTATATATAATATATTTAACTATTTATAAAAAAAATGAAAATAAAATATTACTCCCATGGTCTCAATATATCTATGATGAAAAATAAACAGCCATGTTGAACATTTTTTTCATCCGTGAAAAATATTGATGGTTTATAGGTACCATAGAAAAATCGTTTCGTAATATTTGCCTGGGCTAATTGTGATAGATCAAATCCATCCACTTTGTAGAAACCCTGAAATTATATTTTTGATGTTTCATTAGTATAAGTAACTATTTATATTAGTTTTAATCAAAAAACTTTACAATAATAATTTCAGTGGCGACTCGGGGGTACTGATGGTGGAGGTGCGAATTTAAATATAATACCGCTAGTTTTAGGTATAAAATATTGTCACATTAAATGTAATAAAATAAAACAGAATATACACATACTATTATTTTAAAGGTCGCAATAGAAAATAAAATGAAAATAATAACAATAGCGATTATACTATTGTAGCAACCGATAACGACAAGCATACACGTAGTTAATTCTAAAAATAAATTACCCAATTAGGAATATAATAATACTTTACCGTACGGACGACGCTGTCGGTAGTCCAAACACTGCTCGTGTGTAAATGCATACCCTCGTATATTGAGGGAAACAACTTTAATGTTCTCACACGACAAATGTATTTTAACTACTTTACTATTAAAAAATTTGCAATTTATATAAAAATGTAAAAAATAGGAATATACAATTAATTTTCTTCTTTTAATTAATTTTAGTAGGGGTGCGATCATCTCGTCGTTCATGCTACAAGTCGCCACTGAATATTTTGTAAAATATTCTTACTGGTTTAACGGGACAATCGGTAAAATGGTGTTTTAATAAAAAGTCATTCCATACATTTCCATATATGAATTTCATATTTGAACATGCACCTTTATTTTTGAAAATAAAAGCATTATCTTTCCATCCTCCAATTTTCGACCAAACGGCTAGGTTCATGTTGAACTTTTTAACAAAGGAAAATTTTTTTATATACTATACAGTATAATTATATTTTTATTCATAAATGATAATTAAATCAAATGTGTACTAAGTACACTGTACTTACATATAATCTGTCGTCAAACGGATTTTTCAGAGTAACATTACCCTTTAATAGAGTCTGCGTCGGAGTAGGCTTTGAAATAAAATATTTAAATTTCAAGGGATAATCTATTGAATCATTGCAAATAGAAGCAACTTTGAACTTGATTTTAAATGTTCCCTAAAAATGCATTGAATTAGTTTGAATCTATTTTGTAAAGTTTAAAATTGTATTGTTAACAATACAGTGTTTAATTTAAATTAAAATGTTTTAAATAAAATAAAAATTACAATAAATATTAGTTATAGCGATGTTAAAATCGCTATTTATGGTTATATAACTCGTTATAAAAAAATAAAAGTATAATTCAAAAAATATGATTTTATGTGTTTTATTTTTATATTTAGTACTATTATTCATCTAATAATGGAAGCTATATCTAAGATAATTGTCATTGTCTTTTATAAATACTATATATTTTGACGATATACACAGTGGGGACACAGAACAATAGGGACGTGGCATAGTTGGAATAAGTGTAGAAGATATTTGACAATTTAAAAACGCTTCAATACATATTTGTAGATAGAGTTTAATTTTTAGATGGAATTAGTGAATTATTCTAAAAACATCAACTTTTATTTCAATATGTATATCTTGATCACAAGTTTTATGATTTAAAAATATATTACACGAATACTTTTTGTAGTATTTAAATTTAGTATAAAATTGTAGTAGTGTAATTTTTAAGGTAAAATTAATAAAATGTTGTTTACAGAGTTATTCTTTTAATATTAGCCTCTCGAATACTTTTCTAATAATTATTATATTAAGAAAATTCTTAAAAGAATTTTCTTAATTAAAAAATATTAAAAATTTAGTATTTTTTAATTTTACACATTTCTTGATTTAATCATTATTAAGTTTTTTTTAATTCGCCCTCTATAATCTTATAAGAATGTCGTTTTTATTGTTTTTAATGTTAACATACATATTTGAATAGTCAATAAAATACAAAATAATCTTATAAAGAAAATGACTAAACGAAAGTTTTACATCTGAAGTTATTAAAATTTTAAATTATATTGTATAACGCTGTTATAAAATTTTTATTAAAATAACATTGTTATAAAGTTGTGGAAAAGTACGACAAAGTAATGCATAATGATAAAAATAACATAATCTTCATATATACTCAATATTTTAAAATGATCGGTCTAATGTAATTAAATATTAGTAATTTTCATAAACTTATTGGATTGACATTAAATGTTGCAAAACTTCTGTTCATCGTAATATCAAAACTAACACATTAATCAATTTATAGTAATTCTTTTGTCATAGACAAATTAATTTGGTTACTTACCCTGTCCCTCTTATAGGACTGTAATATTTGACTTAAAATATTGACAAAATGAAAAAAAAAATTAAACAACACGAAAAATAATGATTTTTTCAAAAAATACTTTTTTTGTTCTAATTTTGCAACCATTTGCAAATAAATTTAGAAGATAAATTAGTTGTATGGCTATTAAATAACGAAATTTTCTAAGTAAATTTTTGTTATTAAAATTTTTTAATGGTATACATATTCCTTCTTCTATATACTCCCTTTCACGTTTGACACAACGCTCCATTCTAATTTTCTATTAGTTGAAATTGTATTATTATATTGGAAATCCTTTTCCTATAATTTGATACCTCCGTCATTTTTGTTTCAACTGAATCAAAACGTGCATCTATTAACGCACTTTTTAGTTTTTTCACTGTTATATTACAACAGTTGATGGGTAGAGTTAGTACCTTATACATAGTTTAAAGGGGACACAATACGATAATGAAAAAATGTACATCTATCAAACATGATGAACAACCTATGTAAACTCGTTTTTTTAAAAAAGTTACGGCAGTTTTTAGTAAAAAAAATGAAAAAATTTCAAAAATTAGCGATTTTTAAATTGGTAATTTTTTTGGAGGTTTCCCCCATTTACGGGGAACGAGGGAATTTTTTTCAATTTTTAAGGGTAATGTCTTCGACTAGATACGATTTGTGATCTTTTGACGTATCGTTGAAAGAAATCCGTTCGGTGAGAGCTGAGAAAAAGTGGTAACAGACACAAAAAAAAAAAAAGTAAACACATCTTAGTAAAACCAATACCTTCTCAGCTTCGCATCGAAGCTAAAAAATATTGCATAACTATTTTTGTATAATCTTTGTTTGATGATCGCATCGATTATATAACATAAAGTTGAATGGCAAACGTATTTTTACAAGGACAATGGTTGAGTGGTTTTGAAGACATAGTTGGTAATTCTATCAAAAAGTTGAGTTTAACATTCAAAGACCTTGCATATTTTCTTAGAAAAGACTTACCAGTTGAATTACTTACTAATAAATCATGAAAAGTGTTTGAACGTTTTCAAATCTATTTTGATTTTTTGCGGAATAATCCAAGTGAATGGTAAAATATTTCTGAATTTAATAAAGCAAAAGAACTTTTATCTTCACTTAAAATAGTAAATTATGTTGCCGAAAGAAGTATTAAATTGAAAGAAGAGTATAAGTTCACTAGAAATGAAGACCAAAAACAATACTCATTAAAGGTAATATATAACCTTATATTATATCAATGACTATACTTTAAATATTTATATATTCCTATCCTACAGCATCATTATTATTTAAATATAAACTGAATAATTTTCAATTTTTAGATCGTTCAAAACTATCGTCAACAATATCCAGGGTTTAGCTACGATGATATAAAAAAACCATCTTTATAAATCAATAAGTTTATTATTATTATTATTATTATATTTTTTTATACTGCAATGAAGATCTTAAAAGTTTGAATTTTTTAAAAATAAATGAATTTGAGTGTTTATAATTTTTTATATATTTTATTCAGTTTTTAGCTTCAACGCGTAGGTGAGAGGCTAATTAGTGTTTGTAATATCCTAAAATGTTAAAATTCATTTTTATTACATTCTAAAAATTTACAATATTTCAGTTCTATTTTGAAATTTAGTTATATTTAAGCTTTACTTTTGGAAAATGTGTAGAAGTCCTATTTTAAAATTTGTCGATTCAATTATAGGCAAGACATTAAATACTATAAAAAGTTTTATTAATACTTTTTTGTTGTAAATGACATGTCTAATAAAAAATATTTTTGTATAAATAATAAATTTAACAAGTTATATAAAAAAACTGAATATTTTGTGAAAATCTGGGAAATATGATACTTGTTAGTGCTTTTTAACTATTTTTAAATATTATACAAGATAATAAAAACATTACAGAAAATATCATAAATATTTTATTTTAGTCAATAATGCAATCGACAAAATTAGTTAAGTAAATTTATTTCATAAATATAAAATTGAATAAGATGTGTTAAAAAACTGTTTTTCAGCTCTTTACGGCCTAAATTCTACCTCTTTGAGGAACGGAAAAGGGTGGGTCTAGCAAACTTAAATTTTATACATACACTTTAATAAATCAACCAATTAAAACGGGTTGTCCTGGCTATAAATTTCTAAAAAAAAAATCTTGTCCTATAGCTAAGGACTACCCTAATATATTTATTAAATCATTGATGTAAAATAAACAGCATACTTTACTGTACATTCAAATTAAATGAATTATTTCATGAATTAATCAGTCAAACTATAAAGAACAAATTTACAAATAAATTTACAAATATTTATACAGTGAACAATAATATAAATATTTTATACAACTTTTCGTGAAGCTTGGTTAAATATTAAAGCTGACCAAACCAACTTATTGTCTTAGATTCTTAAAAATTAAATATGTAAAGTAACATACATATACAATGTACATTGTACATATATATGTCGTATATTACAAGGAAACTAATGACTGTTAAGCTCACACAATTTCGTCATCATCCAAAATAACTCGCTTGTCATCATATCTATTTAACGTAAATTTTGTATTACCTATAGATTTTATTTCAAGTTTAAAAAATGAGGAACCCATCATTACTTAGGGTCTAGAATAAGACCTAGATATGTAACAGAGGTTGAAGAAGAGAAAAAGTCTATGGACTTGAGAAATTATGAGGGGAAGATTTTTCCTTATAAAAATAATGAATGTGGTTTTGTCTGGTGCTTAAGTGAAATAAGAAGAAAGGAAGCTAGAGGATAGAGTAGATAATGAATTATTAAGAGTAGATATAGCTCTTGTAAGACAACTGTCTGAGGAATAGGAAATAATATAATCTGCATAAAATAGAGAGGAATACTTATGAAAAGATAGGTTATTACTAATAATACTCATGTAAATATTAAAAGGAATTGGACTGAGGCAACTACCCTGAGGTAATCCTCTATAGCTAGATTTAGAAACTGACAGCCCTGCTGACGGGTAAGAAAAATAAATGATGCAATGAGAGAACAGAGAAGATAGAAAATTACAAAGAAAAGGAGGAACATTGATTGAGTATAAACGATTGATAAAGGTGGGTATATGCACGGAGTCGAATGCTCCTTTAATGTCGATAAAAATAGCTGGAAAAAATTTGTTTTTACAAAATGACTCGTAGATAGGACCAATAAAAGAATGAAGACAATTCATTGTATCTAAATCTTTTCATGAACACCAAAGAGATTATTAGGTAAGAGATTGTTTTTTTCTAGAAACCAGTATAGTCGTGACATGGTCATGAATTCAACAGTTTTGCAAAAAGAGGAGGAAAGAGCGATAAGTCGAAAAGAAGCGGAGGTAGAGTGAGGTATTGCTATGAGAATAACATGAAACATTTCCAAGAAAGAAAAATTAAACAATTGGCCCACAAGGAGTTCATAATAGTTAGGAGAATATCAATACCAAATTGGGGAAGATGTTTTAACATTAATGGAGAGATGCCATCAAGACCATAAGCAGATGAAGCGCGTGAAAAAATTGCTAATGTGAGCTCTTTAGAAGTAAACAGCATAGATATAGGGTGAGATACGGAGTTACTAATAGAGGGAATGGGAATAGTGTAGGGGGTTGATTCTTTAAGAGATGGAACATAAGGATTTATTATTTATTATTACAGAATGAGGGAAACTATGTTTCGTTAAGAGAATAAGAACGGCGATTTACGCAGTTTTTAAACTTTCTAGTTGTTGACCATATATAACGGAGAGAAGGAGATGGGTTAAGAGACGAGCAAAGAGAATGCCAAGTATTCTTTTTTGCTTTTTTCATAGTGGTGGCAGAACAAATACGCCGATAGTAAATAAAATCTGAGACTGCACCAGTATATATATACAATCGAAAGGCTTGAGAGCGTTCTTTAACGGCATTAGTACAAGCAATAGACCACCATGATGCAGAAGGAGGAAATATTTTTTAGTGCTTCTTTTTATAGATAGAGAGGAGTAAGCAGCATTTTTAAGTAAATTGACAAAAGATTTATAGTCAGTTAAAAGGCAGGATGAGGGAGAAAAGTTAGAAAGAAAAACAGTAGTGTAAGCTGAGAAAAGGCCCCTATTAGCTTGGTTTAAATTAAATAAGGAAGAATAAGATTGGGGGAGGGGAGAATCAGGAGTATAATTGGGGAAAGGAGAAGAGTGGGAGATTACAATAGGGTAGTGGTTGCTACCACAGACGCAATCAAGGACAGACCAAGATAATGAAGGAGAAGTAAAAGTAATATAAACGACTGTGCCAGCAAAAAGAGGGCGATTAGCGAGAGTAGGAGAGCCATCATCAATAATACTTAGATTAAAAGAACAAATGAAAGAAAATATTAAATTGCCACGATAATTACTGTTATGAGAGCCTCATTCTGGATAGTGACCGTTTAAGTCCCCATCAATAATGGAGTTAGGAGAAAACAAATTAAAGATAGAATTAATGAGTGACGGAGTAGGGTTGGAAGAGGGGTAATATAAATAGACCAAAAACAAACAGGAGAAGACTGGTTAGAGAAAGCAACGATACCAACAAGGTCAATTGTATGAATACGTAGATAGTTTAAAAGATTATCGTTAATATAGGCAGCAACAACCACTCCACCGTAACCGTTCTGTCTATCAGAATGAATGATGTTAAAAGTATTGATGTGGTAGGACCATTTGAGTAAAAGCCAGCTTTCCGATAATAGAGCATGCAAGCGGGCTTTTTATATATTGGCCTGTAACAACAACGTGGTTTGCCACTTGCATAACGACTAGCTAGAGTAGCAAGGGTCGCCACCACCTAGGCGAGGTGTCACACCTATCAGATATGATTACCGGACCATAGGTGGAATTTAATTTTAAGTTAATTAAAAGTACAATCTAAGTTAATATGTCGTTATATGTATAAATTACTATAATGCCTCGTAGTTTATAGAACACAATTAAGACAATCAAAGTTGTATGTGGTTGATATGTAAAACATACCGTAGCCCGTGTCTAGATTAAGGAATAGGAATGAAATACACGCGAGTAATTAAGTTACTCGCGCAATAAAATAAATATTACAGTTTAAATTAATAAGTAAATTTAATTTAATTGTTAAAAAAAGAAAATTAAGTTAAACATGGACAAAAATGCGAATGCATCAAAAACCATGTCTACAAATAAAGGCAATACAAATAAAATAAAATATTTAAACAAATAATATTACAAACATCACGGACGGTATTGGAACACATCCGTTAATGTTAACAGGAAATTAATGAAGAACACCAGGAGCGGTCTGGACACTCGCTCCTTAGCGTTGGCTAGAAGAAAAGGGAAACACGTGCTCTCCACACATAAACAAAATTAAGTTAATTTACAATAAAATAAAATGAAATAAAATAATTAATAAAATATAGCTCATTACATAAATATAATATAAAAAAGAAAACGATACCCGGTCTCCGAAGAGACCCATCCGATGGTCTGGATGCTTCGCCGAAAAGATCTGGCCGTTTGCCGTTGGCGGCTCTACTCCATCATTGAAAAATATGTCAATAAAACAACAAATGTGTGCACCCTAGCACGGTCAATGACAGAAGAAAGAATAGAGAAGAGTCAACACCGATCTAACGGCAATTTCAAAACGATAACGGCCAGTCTTTTTGGAAGGGATCAATACGATAACAATTCGATTTTAATTATATTTCTCTTTTATCGCCTTATCTAGCGGTCAGCGGTAAAATAATGAGTGGTTGACACCGCTGTGTCAGAAAAAGGTTCTTTCGCGCGATAAAATAAATAAGTAGACATAACAAAAAAATCATAAACGGTCCACCTTCGAATTTGTGACGTTACAAGCAAAGGTGCATTTTTGTCCAGACAAGAGTTAAGAAAGGTTATGAGTATGTGGAATAATGCTGCATATATTCCATTGTAAAATATTTAAGGCAGGACAGGAGTTCAGAGAATTATTAGTATTATTTAGAGTTGTCATCATTAATTGTCTCTAAAGATTTGGCGTTAAATAAGGAAAATTCTACTAAAGAACTGAGTGAGGCAAAAGAAGAAAGCTAGTTACGATCGCGAATAAGGGACAGAGATAGTTTATCAACAATGGACGAAATCCAATCATTTCATGTGTAGGAGAATTAATGGAAGCTATGTAATTAAGGTTACTACCATTAGAAGAAGCGAAGTGTACATTAACAGGGTTGAGTAAGGGATTGGGGGAAAAATTGGCATTATGATTATTTACAGCAGTTTTTTTTTTTTATGTTTTTGTGCGGAGGAAGAATTGAGAGTAGGAAAAGAGAAGGTAAGTAAATTGCTATTTATAGTATGAGGTATGGCTAGATGCTCATTATTAACATTGTTAGAATTTTTAACATTATTAATATTATTGTTCCTGTTAGAAGTATTATTGTTTATGACTTTTGCGTAAGAAAAAGCCGAGTTGACAATACCAGAACGCTTAATTGCTGCGACTTCAGAGTAAGAAACATTGTTAACTGCCATAATTTTTTTCATGTCTTTTTGAATAGTCCATTCGACGCAAGGCCAATCGGTGGAGGGATTGTTTAAGTAACAAAAAATATAGGAAGTCGGAGAAGTAGATTTATTGAGGCAGAGTGACGCGTTGTGGTCTACTAAGCCGCAGTGCCTGCAGCGTTCTGTACTACGGCAAAATTTTTGTGTCTGTCCGAAGCGAAGGCATCTAGCACACTGAACGAGGCTACGCACGCTAGATGAGACATCAAATAAAACTTTTTGGTAGAAAAGTGGAAAGAAATTTCATCTCGACGAATGGAGAAGGGACAAGTTGATTGTCACGCTTGGTGATGATACATCTGAAAGATATGATTTCTGTAGAGCACTCTAAACCATCCCAAAAATAATTTTCGGTAATATTGATGTCTAAGCATATCATGCCCAGTTTGAATAATAGCGTGTTGGAAATGGTAGCAAAAAAACCATTCTCTGAGTGATGAGACGAGTTTAAAAATAAGTTGGCATTATGAACAGTAACTAGAGTTATTTTCAAACATTTAGCACTTATGAGTTTAATATTTATAATATCCTTAAAAGATTTGGTAAGAACTTTACCTAATTTAACAGGATGTAGTTTACCTAAGTTTTTTTCATCTGTTGTTGAAAGTAAGACGCAAATAGGACCAGAATAATTATTTGGAAAGCGGTTGGGTTGGAAAGCCGTGTTGTTGACAAGGTGGTATTGTGCCGCCGGTATATGAAATAGATGCGTTATCTTTATGGTGTGTAACGCATGAATTAATATTAGAATTATTGTTCGACGCACCATCGGTCATGATAACATCGGTTGGTGATGACGATGGAGAGATATAACCAGATATAGCTTTTTTTGCTGACGTTCCGGATGGCTATTTGATTTTATTTTGAGGTTCTTTCGAAGATGACAGGCTCTTATTAGATAAAAAAAATTTAGTGAAAAAGAGTAACTGCAGTCCACGTTGGGGGGAAGATCTGCCATCCCCCACCGGGTTCCGATTAGACATTCAAAAGAACACTAAACGAGAATTACAAAAAAAGTAAATAAATGCACAGAAAACAACAATAGAGAGAAACAACTAATCTAGCGATAACAGTTGAAATAAGTTCGATAAAACGTCTGTACTTGTTGGCGGTTAAAACGCAACTGGAGATTTTGCTTTATTGGCAATAACATATAAAGCCTCTAATTTTAAACTGTATTTATAATACATAATTTATTATCAATATAAACTAATACAAAAACTTGTTCTATATAATCTGCGTAAGTTCAAGGTAGTTGACGGGCCTTAAATTAATTATACAATGCTAACAATACACCAACCTGTTAATTGTGAGTGACGGTCATACAAAATAACATTATAATTTAAAAAATCTAAATTTTGATGAAAAGTAGCAATTTTAATCCTAGTGGTCAGATTTTCAAAAAATATATACCTAAAGATAAATACATACCTGAGATATTTAAATAAAAAATAAAATTTATTTGATTTATTCATTTTTTTTACGTAAATAAAGTTTAAAAAAATTCGAAATTTACCAATTTTAAAAGTCATAACTTTTGTTGTTTTTTTAATTTACATGAAATGAAGACATTTTTAAAAATTTTCGAAGATAATGTCTTCAATTAGATCATATTGAAATTGTAACCTCATACTCGCAGCAAATCTAAAATTAACTCGCAATGTACTGTTTTAAATGACGATAAAATTTGTATAACATCGTATTATTTTTTGTATAACTTTCGTATTGTACTAGTAATGTAATTTATAGTTATTAAATAATTCGAATAACTTACGACTGGAAGATTTGGCATGAAAGACGATTTTTCTGTACAAAACATGGAATCTAATAAAATAAAAATAATAATTGAAATAACTTTTTTTAAAAATTTCCCCATTTTAAATTTTAAATTTAATTAAATTTTTTTATAAAATCAACACACTACATATAATAGACTTTAACTATATGTTAAATACTTAAATAAAAATGTTTTCAAATTTTTACATTAAAATGTTATGATATTTTTCAAAAGTGAAATATATAGCAATAAAAATGTATCAAACATTAACCTCTAATAACGATTCTTATCTGTTAAGCAATAAATTATGATATCATTGTAATTATTATTTGTCAAGTAAAAATTACATTACACTGTTACATGTGGCTAACATCATTATTATTATCTGTTAATCAATAAACCATACAATGGATCTAAACTTTCATATAAATGATAAAATTCACATAAATAATAGTATAAGTTGTTACAGACATATTAACACTGTAATGCTATAATCAATCATTGTCCAAAATTGTGTATTCATTTTATAAAATAACATGTAATAAATAACACAAATCAATTTAATAAAGTCATAATAATAGCGTTTCTGACACCTCTTGCTTATTTATATATATAATTATATAAATCAACAAAATAGGAATATAAAAGCAACTAAAGAAGGCTTAAATATCGTCAGTATACTCTTATTATTCTCAGTGTTCTCTCAGTATGATCTCGAAACTCATTGATTTCACTTTTCTAATTTATATGCAAGAATTACATAGTCAAAAAAACCAGACGACATATATTAATTTATAAACACTCACTGGAAACATCAAGGTAGATACTAAATATTAATTAAAATTTTAAGGCTTAAAATTAATCATTTTTTTTGAGTATATAGTATATAGTGTAAGTAGAAGAAATAAAAGATTAAATGATCACTAAAAATAAATTAGTAATGTTTGCACTGAGCTAATTAGCAGAGTTCGATCATTGATACGTATCTATGCCATGAGCTAAGTTGAAGGTTCTAATATGGCTACACTACTCTGGGTAGATACATAAGGTGACTCTACCCATATATCATTGATAACCATCAATACTCGTGTCGTTATTGATATTAAAGAATATGACAATTAATCATGATAATTTTTATATTAATAAATAAAAATCACTATGTTTTTCTATAACTTTCATTATTGTCATGAACCTTCGTACTCATACCCATGATATATTATTATTAAAAAAACTCCCTACATATAATATTTTTACTTTCTTTTGGATTACTATAAATGGTTTCTAATAACAGGCTTGGTTAAAATTATACTAAGGGATTTAACAGTGGTGGCTCGTCGGTGTTGGTGGTGGTGATGCGACTTTAGATATAATGCCACATAGGTATAAAAAATTGTCAAATTAAATATAATAAAATAAAACACAATACACATACTATTATTTTAAAGGTCGCAGTAGAAAATAGAAATGAAAATAATAATTATTATTTTATAATCGCTATTATTATAATAATAGCGATGTTCGCGCATTAAAGAGAAACGTTGGGCATACTGTAAGTGTTATCATCGCCGATATACTGATAGGATATTACAAAAAGTTTTGAAAGTGTGTAAATATATATATATCTGTGTTGTATATTTTGTAGGTTATATTTAAGTAATGTTTCTGGGTAAAAGACAAACAGGGGTCAACTGCTATAAGAAAAGAACCCTTGTGTCAACATTTGGCAGCATAGCGTGGTTATTGAAGTTGTTAGACAACAGAAAATTAAATATTAAGTTAAGGTAAATTAACTTAGAGCACCAAGTTACTGCTTGATATTAAAATATATATTAGTTGTTTGTATAATTAAACTAAAAGTGTCTATAAGTATTAGTTATTGTGGTAATAACATTTTAATTATAGATTTTATAAGTATGTTACTTTAATTATCAAATAAATTGAATAAGTACTTAGGAGGTTAGACCTCAATGTAATGATAAATTTGGATGACATTTTAATTGCCTATTTAAAGGTTCAAGGAGTAAGACATTATAAGTTGCCTACAGATTAGATCTCGGCGTACATGTTTTTGTTTTTTTGGCTTGAATTATATATTTATTTATTTTGATAAATAATTTAAATATAATGTACTATATGTAGAATGTTATCTTTACATTGTTTTTAGAAAGATTATTTAGAGCATTTCCTAGTATTAGTTGTTATTATTTCTTTAGTTTAATTATTTAAAGGATAATCCCATATATGTATAGTATTAAATTTGATTGATTTCATATAAATAATTTTTTTTATTGATCAAATGGGATGTGGTTATTAAATTAATTGGTTGACTAATTATATTATATTAAAATGTTAGAAACAACAAGTGAACGGTTAGAGCGCCTGAAATGAAAATGCATTAAGAAGCGTGATGGAGCAGTCAAGCGTTTACAAGCTATTTATGAACTCTGTGAAGCCGCATCAGTTAATAGCCAAGTGATACCAAAGTTTATAGTAGCTGCTAGAGACGCCGGTAGTCAGTGGACGGTGTTTACCACTGAGTGCAATTCTTTATTGGACATTTTGTGTGAGCAAGATAAAATGGATGATTTTCCTGATGATCTAGAGGTGACCACACGTGCTATATATTCTATAATTGCTAATCTAGAAAAATTGGATGATGATGGTGGTGGTTCTGTACGGTCAGGCACTAACAATAATCTAACAACTGATGGGCATGTTGTTCAACAAGAAACCATTAATTTTGAAGACTGTAATTGTTTGCCTAAAATTCCGTTACCATCCTTTCAAGGTGATCTTCACAAATGGCCGACGTTTAAAAATAGATTTCTGAATTTAATCGGCAAGAAATAAAAAATTAACGATAATGAGAAATTTTATTATTTAATGGGATGTTTAGCGGGTGACGCTTTAGAAGCGGTTAAAGGTATCAGCGACTATGATGACAATTTTGAATGAGCCTGGACGATGCTAGAAGAGCGGTTCGATAGGCCACGTCAGTTAGCTAATAGTTTAGTTGAGAAAATGTTGTAAGCACCTGTAGCAAAGATTGAAGACATTAATTCATTCCGGACATTTTTATCAAATTTCGAAGAATCTATGACATTGCTAAGTGCCTGATTTAGGCAATTTTGTTTCTATAATCATCCAGGTGTTCACCTCTTTCTTCAAGAAAATTATTTGAATCCCAATGTACTCACCGGTATCCTGTGGTCGACGATTTTTTTATTTTTGTGAAGGATAGAATTAAGGTTTTGGAAAACGCAAGAATAAAAGCTACTGTTCCATTACAGAGGGTAATGGTCGAACGAAAAGGTAGTCAAGGTTATGGTGGAAAGGTTTATAATAAACCTAAAACTGTACTCACAACAACGAAGCTTTCGACATCGACCAGAGAATGTCCAATCTGTGACAGGAATCATCTAAGCGTTACGTGTCCTAAAATGGAGTTGCTTTCCCCGTTGAAAAGAAGCGAACTAGTAAAACAAAAAAAATTATGTTTTATATGTTTTGGAAAGCACTGGAGCCACCAATGTATATCTAAAGAATTATGTGCCATTTGTAACCGGAAACACCATACATGGCTACATCGAGTCACTGAAGAACAAAGGGATAGCTCCCAGCAGCAGGTATCATGTTTTAATGCCGGAACAGGAGGCACGGTGTTATTAGGTACAGCCCGGATATATGTAACAAGTTGCTGGGGAGTCAAAAGGGAAATACGTGCACTAATTGATTCGGGTTCGCAAATTAATGCTATCACGTCGGATTGTATGTCGAAATTAGGACTCCACTGTGAAAAGTGGACATTGCCATTGACAGGCATAGCAAATCAGACAGTCACCAACATAAGTGGTTTTATACAATGTTAAATTTGTCCAAGAGGATCATTGATTCCGATTATCAATTTAGAAGCGTGGGTGTTAGACAAAATTACTACCGATCAGCCCGTGCATCAGTTATCAAATAAAATTAAAAATGAGGTCTTTATGTTACAATTAGCTGATCCGTATTTTGATATCCCCTCGCCTATTGATATGTTATTAAGAGCCGATATATTTTCAAAAATTATGACTGGTGACCGTCGAGATTTAGGAGCAGATTTGCCAACAGCTTTCGGGTCGATTTTTGGATGGCTCTTAATTGATAGTGCAGGGCAGAGACAAACCTATTCTAATGTGACATCATTGACTGTTACTATTCCATCGTTAGAGCAGTTAGTTGAAAAATTTTGGGAAATTGAAAACGTCAAATCAGCACAATTAGAATTTACAGACAACGAAGCATGCGAAGTCTTATTTCAGAATGAATACCAGGGAGATAGTGATGGTCGGGTTTCAGTACCATTACCTTTTCATGTTCAAGTTAAATCACATTCATTTATAGGATCTAAACAAGTAACTCTTAAAAGATTCGAACATCTCGAAAGGAAATTTAAAACGAATGATAAGCTGTATGAATCGTATAAGACTTTTATGTCAGATTATGAGACTTTGGGACATATGAAACGAGCTACTGAGCCGGGTATTTATTTTATACCTCATCATGCAGTACGTATGGACGATACACCTGATGGTAAATTCAGAGTTGTCTATGATACTTCGGCTAAAGACATAACAGGACGTTCTCTAAATGATTGTTTGTACAATGGTCCCAAGTTACAGCAGGATATCGTGGATGTTCTAATTCGCTTTTGTGTGTACCAGATAGCTTTTACTAGTGATATTAGTAAAATGTATCGACAAATTTTAGTCAACGAATCATACCGTAAGTATCAACATATACTTCGGAGGTCGTCTCCTCTACATGAGCTTTCTGAATACGAATTGTGTACTGTCACATATGGGATGGCCAGCGCTCCATATATTGCGCTTCGTTTAATAAAGCAAATAGCGGAATATGACTATACAGCGTTTCCTGACGTTTGATTGGTTTTAGTTGAACAAACATACATAGATGATATTTGTACGGGTGCGGATTCGAAAGACGAAGCTTTACGCCTACAGCGTGACTTAATTTTCATTTTAAAGGGAGCAGGTTTTCAGTTAAAAAAATGGATAAGTAACTCACCTGAAGTATTAGACAAAATACCTGTAGACGACAGGGCTAATGGTGTACAATGTTTTGTTTTTATTCTCAAGAGAATGGTATTACCAAGGTTTTAGGAATGCGGTGGAACCCCATAAAGGATACTTTCGGTTATAGTATACTACCTACAACAGCTAAGGTAACTAAACGCGGAATGTTATCTATCATAGCACGCCTATATGATCCCTTAGGTTTTCTAGCACCTTGTATATTTATGACAAAAACCATAATGCAACGTGCATGGCAAGCCAAAATTACCTGGGATGAACAATTACCGACTGACATAGAATTAGATTGGCAAAGGTTTATGGAGAAGTTACCACTATTATCAATGATTGAGATACCTCGTTTCCTGCAGACTAAAAAACAGTTTTACTGTCAATTGATCGGTTTCTATGACGCATCAGAGCGCGGATATGCGATTAAATATCCATATTATGGAATGTCCATATTTTTCTTTTAGGTGCCAAGACTAAGACGGCTCCTATTAAAAAATCAACTATACCACGGCTAGAATTATGTGCTGCACTTCTACTAGCGCGTTGGATGTCAAGAGTTCATGCTGTTTTGCAGTCACGTTTATGTGTTCAACAAATGTTCGCCTGGTCGGATTCAGCCATAGTGTTGTCGTGGTTGAATTCATCTCATGTTAATTATAAAATATTTGTGTCTAATCGAATTCATCAAATCCAGCAGTTAATGCCAACCTGTCAATGGTCTTATGTATCTACCAAAGAAAACTCAGCAGATTGTTCTAACTTCAGTGAGTTCTGATCGTGTAAAAAAGAAATGATTTTTTCAGTTTTCATCTTATTTTAAATTATTGCGTGTCGTTGCCTGGGTGCGCCGATTTATGCTATATCTTAGAGGGGAACGTCGAACTGAAAACATTTTGTCCACCTAATAAATAAAACAAACCTTGATAACTCTAGTAATTTATGTTCAAGATCTGTATTTTCATGATTTAAAATTAGAACTACTAAAGGGACGTCGAATTTCATCGAAATTATACGCACGTCTTTGTCCTTTTATCGATTCTTTCAATACAATAAGAGTAGGAGGGAGGCTGCATTATGCTGGAATTTCTAATGGTCAGAAAAATCCTATTTTATGCCGAAACAAGCATATTTAACTCAGCTGCTTTTTTGCCATTGGCACGATGTTGATTGTCATGCAGAAACCTGTTTTATGATGTCAATCTTTATGAAAACATATATGGTTAAGGTCGTGGGTCCTAAAGTGTTTACATTTGAAGAATTTGTTACAGTTGTGACAAGGATTGATTCAGTGTTAAACTCAAGGCCATTGACACCACTGAGCGACGATCCTGGGGATTTAGAGTGTTTGACACCAGATCATTTTCTAATTGGCCAACCTCTGTTAGCTGTTCCTGAAGAACATGTACACGAAACCACTCGTCCAATTGTAAATAGATGGAAATTATTACGCCAGGCTCATCAAATTTTCTGTAGACGATGGTCTAACGAGTACTTGAATTTATTGCAGACTCGCAGTCGTTGGATTCGAGGGAGCCCTAATGTTACAATCGGAGACATGGTTGTCATAAAGGAAGACAATGTGCCACCCTTGAAATGGCATCTTGAGCGAATATTGATGTTTATCCAGGAAAAGATAGAATTATACGAGTTGCCCTTGTAAGAACACATTCTGGGAATATTAAACGACCTGTAGTAAAGTTGGTAGTGTTAGTCAAAGTAACAGACCATTAAAATTATATTATTGTTCTTAGTTATTTTTTTTTTGTATGTATAATATTAAAATCTACGTTGTATTCTTGTTGGTGAGCTTAATAATCTTTCATAATGTGAAAAAAAATTATTCTTTACAGTGTTCATAATTTATGCAGGGTGTTATCGTTACTCCATTTGTAAAATATCTAGTAATTTGGTGCTAATAAATTTATTTTTTTTTACTTGGTCAGGCGAATTATCTTANGCTAATAAATTAATTTTTTTTTTACTTGGTCAGGCGAATTATCTTACTATAACAGTTATTCTTAACACATTTAGAAATTTTATAGCTATTAAAGTTTAACACTGGGGTTCTAATTAGCAAGTTATTCAAATATATATATATAAAAAAAAAAAATGGTCTCTGTTTTGTCTTCTTTAATTATGGTAATTTTATACTTTTAGCTTCGATGCGAAGCGGAGTAGGTATTAATTTTACTATGATGTGTTTTTTTTTTTTTTTTTTTTTTTTNTTTTGTATATTTTGATGTAATAATAATAATGTGATATTGAATCAAATAATTTATATTTTATTACACATTTAGATACGTTTTATTTAATTTAAGGTTAATTGAATACTGTGTGTGTTATATGTGCCAATATGCTGATAGGATATTACAAAAAGTTTTGAAAGTGTGTTCGGCCAATATAGTGTGAGATGTACCTGGTTTTTGTTTGGAAAACAAGTGAATTAATTAAAGTGAAATAAGATCTCCACGTAATCCTGAATGACCAGGTGGTCATGCTATCGGAATAAGAATATATGTAAATTCTCCAGTTGGACTGGATCCGAGAAGATTGATGGAGTCGGGCCTATCAGAAGAACAAGATCATCAAAACTAAGTAACAACAAGGACTACCACAAAGAGGAGGTCATTGAATGCGGCATAACATTGTCACCCCCCCCCAATATCTCGTGATCTGTATCAATAAATGTTTAATGTATATATATATATATATATCTGTGTTGTATATTTTGTAGGTTATAATTAAGTAAAGTTTCTGGGTAAAAGACAAACAGGGGTTAACTGCTATAAGAAAAGAACCCTTGTGTCAACAAGCGATTATACTATTGTAGCAAACGATGACGACGAGGGTATACGCAGTTAATTCTAAAAATAAATTATCAAATATTGTAATGTACTAATATTTTACCGTATGGACGACGCTGTCGGTCGTCCAAACACTGCTCGTGTGTAAATGCATACCCTCGTATACTGAGGGAAATAACTTTAATGTTCTCACACGACAAATGTATTATAACATTTTACTATTTAAAAATTTTCATTATTAATAAAAATGTAGAATTAAGAATATACAATTAATTTTAGTAGGGGGTGTGATCGTCCCGTCGTCTAAGCCACGAGCCGCTACTGGGTTTTAATATGAAAAAATTTAAGTATTTGAATTTTTTTATCTAATTTTTAATAAATAAGAATTTCTTCCTGCGAGAGGAGACTACACTGATGTAATCCTTGATATTCATCGAAATTATTGAGTCTAAATGAGTTGAAAATTGTTTTCTAATTCAAAAAGAATTAAGAAAAAAATACAACAAATTCATTACCATAGGCAAGTTTGAACCTTGTACCCCAAGCGTGATAGACCTAAGTGTTACCGACTTGGCTACTGTACATGGCATTCGCCGGATGATAAAAAGGCAATTTAAGTAAGAACAAATTTCAAAATTATTTTTTTTGACTTAATAAAAACAAAAATATTTGAATAAGTTTAACTTTCTATATAGCATAGAAATTTATACTATAGACATAGCGTCCATTAGATTTATATAATATTTATGAAAATCAGTGTATTCCCCTTGTCAGGTATTTTAAAATAAAATAAAATATAAACCCGAGAATTTTAACACAAAACCAGCATTTTTTTTATTAATAGCCATTTTCACTATATCTTAAAATTTTTTTTTTACTGTCAAGTATATTATAATAGTTTTAAGATTAAATAAAATTGGCAATATTTCCGGAAAATTTTAAAAATTGAGTTGAAAAAGTGTAACTTGTATACAAAAATTGCTTTTTCAAATCCTCCTTGTAGGCAATCAAAAGTCAGATATTTTCAACAAATTTAACAGACAACAATGTTTTAAAAAAAATTTTAAGACAATATTATTAATTGCAATAATAAAGAATCTACCATCCTAAAATCGATCACATAACCCAAATTTGGACATTTATTAAATTTTAAGTTATATTGTGTTTGTTGATTGATAACGAATGATGATGTGGCGACTACCATCACTATCAATAACTTGCTATTGTCTTCAGTGTTACTGTTTTTATGTTACGTAATTATTTTATTGAATTTTATATTTTGTCAAACATTGTTGGTGTTCGTCGTGAGTTTTGATTATGTAATCGTCCTAACCATTTATGCCATTTTAAATGTGAATTTTAAATTTACCGTCCTCCCTTTCTAGTCAGTGTCCGTTCAATCGCTGAGGAAATCTAATTCTTTTTTTTTAGTAATTTTGTCTAACTTGTTATTCTCCCGATCGTCCCACTGATGTATATTTTGTTTTACTATTTGTTAAATTGTATTATTATAGTTTTATATAAATAAAAAGTCTTTAACACCTTTGGTGTGTTTATTACTTTTCTCAGTGTCGTTTATTATTCATTAGTGTTTAGAGACATAATCCCCCGCAAGGATTACGGGCCTAACAACCCCGCGGACCCTAGTTATTTCAGTGGGGGTGGCAACACGTACCACTGCTCTTAGCCGGTCATGACTTTGATTAGTTGGGACCGGTAGGCCTGGGCATACCTGCTTGCTAACAGCGAATAGGCCCTCCTAACCCAGCCATACCAAGTGAAAGGGTTGCTAACTTGTCACAGGGTAGTTAGCCGAAAGGTAAAGTGACCATTGGGATCCTCTATGGCACCTGGCGCACCATAGAGTATACAGCCTTATCACAGTATCGAGCTCTGCTGTGACGGACCTTTATTTCTCGACTTCTCGTGGGAACTATATGGATAAAAACATAGAAAAACCACAAAACAACGAACTTGTGACGATCAGGGATCCTACGGACAACCTGTCGGAACAAGAGCGTGAACTAGCGATTCTTCGCAAAAGAATCGCTGTACTTGAAGGTCTCAATGCCAACAACGGGACTCTTGGTGAACCGTCTACTAGCAAAGAGACAGCAACGTCAACTAATGCAGACCAGGAGTCGCAAGATCAACTGGGAGCAGTAGCTGACAAAATCGAGGATCTAAAACGTAGACCCTCGGACAATAGAATTCAATTCACTCAGATAAACCTGCATCACAGTAAGGGGGCCAGTAGCGTGTTACTAAGGACCCTAACTGAGAGGCATACAACACCCTTACAAATAGCACTTATTCAGGAACCATGGATAAATGGGGACCAGATTAAGGGGCTAAATCTAAGGAATTTTAAACTGTTTCATAAACAAGCAGATAAACCAAGAACTTGCATTTTGGTTAATAATAGAGTTAAAGCCAGCCTGATACTTAATCTATCAAGTGCAGACTTGACTATTATTAGAGTAACACTAAATGATGGTAAAAACATTATAGTAGCTTCAGGATACTTACCATATGAGGTCACAGACCCAGGTAGGGACCTAACTATGCTCTTTAATTATTGCAAAAATGAAAAATTAGAACTAATCCTAGGTATGGATGCTAATGCACACCACACTATTTGGGGGAGCAGTAACATCAACCAAAGAGGAGAGGTTATAATGGATCTATTGCTGACTACAGACCTAAGTATACTGAACAGAGGTAGTGAACCTACTTTTGTTATCAGGAACAGGCAGGAAGTCATTGATCTAACAGTTTGTTCAAAAGGGTTACTTCAAAAGATAAAAGGGTGGAAAGTGTCCTCCGAACCTTCTCTTTCTGATCATAGGCACTTACGATTCACTTTGGAAATTAACAAAGTTGAGACGGAGTACTATAGGAACCCGAAAAGAACAAACTGGGACAAATACAGGGCAGATCTCTCTCGTGACCTGATTAACCTACAGTTTAGATTGGGGTCGAGACAGAGTACTGAAAGGGCTGTAAATATGCTACAGGACTCCATTGTCTCAGCTTACAAAGAAAACTGTCCTTTAATAGAAAGGAAAGGTACAGGGCAGGGTGTAGCTTGGTGGAATGCTAACCTGTCTAAATTAAGAAAGAGTTCACGTAAGCTCTTAAATAAAGCAATGAAATCAGGTTTGGAACAACACTGGGAATCCTATAAGGACGCCCAAAGGAACTACAAATCTGCATTGAAAAAGTCCAAAAGAGAAAGCTGGAAGAAGTTCTGTGGGGATATACAACAACTCCCTATAGCAACTAGACTTCTGCGATCACTAAGGAATGGACCAAACAAAACTGTCGAGGCAATACTACTGCCAGACGGAATGTTCACCAATAATGATAATGAAACATTATCACATTTGATGAACACACATTTTCCTGACTCTGCAATTAACAACAGAGAACGGGAACATGATGCACAGGACAAACGTGTGACCTGTGCTGATTGGAGACTAACCAGGAAAGTGATAACCCCAAGTGGAATAAGATGGGCAATAAAAGCNCAAGTGGAATAATATGGGCAATAAAAGCCTTTGGCAGTTTTAAAGCTGCAGGCTGTGACGAAATTTTCCCTGCACTTCTGCAAGAAGCGTTAGAGATAATCGTCCCCCATCTCTGCAAAATATTTAGGGCATGCCTTGTCTATGGTTATCAACCAGAAAGCTGGCGTAAGGTTAGGGTAGTGTTTATACCCAAACCTAACCGCACTAACTATTATGAAGCAAAATCCTACAGACCAATAAGTCTTACTTCTTTTCTTCTTAAGACTATGGAGAAACTTATTGATAGGTACATCAAGGAGGGGCCTCTTAAGGAGAACCCTTTACATGAAAACCAACATGCGTATCAAACGGGGAAATCTACTGATACAGCTCTACACTGCTTAACTACTAAGCTAGGGAAAGCTGTAGAGAATAAAATGTATGCAGTAGGTATATTCCTGGACATCGAAGGGGCTTTTGACAATACTCCCTTCGATGCTATGTGTGAATCTGCACAACAGCGTGGAATAGAACCACTTATTATTAAGTGGATAGAATCCATGCTTAAGGAACGCTCCATTTTGGGACAGCTCAATGAGACCAAAGTAATCAAGAGTGTTAAACAGGGATGCCCACAAGGCGGGGTTCTATCCCCCTTGCTATGGTGTCTAGTATTGGACTCGCTTATTAGAGAGTTAAACAAATATTGTTATACACAAGCCTATGCGGATGACTTGGTTATAGCAGTGGTGGGTAAATTCCCAGACACTATTATTGACTTAGCACAACAGAGACTTAACACTATACAGATATGGTGTAGTAAGTACGGTCTATCTGTTAATCCAAATAAAGCAGAGGTTGTTATGTTCACTAGAAAGAGAATAGGACTAGACAACCTGGACACTCTTACTCTGAATGGACAAGAAATTAGCTTAAAATCAGAAGTAAAATACTTAGGTATTATCTTGGATAGTAAGCTAAAATGGAAATCACATGTTGAGTCAAGAATCAAAAAAGCAATGACCACATTGTGGACTTGCAGCAGAGCCTTGGGAAAGACATGGGGTCTTAAACCAAGAGTTATGTATTGGTTGTACACGTCAGTGATTAAACCTATGATATTGTACGGTGCCCTGGTCTGGTGGACCAGAACAGCACTCATTACAGCTAGGAAAGAACTTAGTCGCATACAGAGAATGGCTGCTATTGCCATCACTGGAGCATTAAGAACTACACCAACGGTCGCATTAGAGGCACTAATTGGATTGCCTCCTCTGCATCTAGAGGTGAAAGCTCACGCCAAAGCTACAGCACTAAGATTCCACAACTTAGGTATGTGGACTTTGGAGAGTGATACAACAGAACATGGTAAAATACTAAAAGAGATAGACAAGGGCTTTTTAGAATACCCCTTGGACTATATCAAACCGGTTCTTAAGAATAACATTCCCTACAAAGTGGAGATCACTACACGTATAGAATGGAATATTAACCACCTGACTGACAAAGGAGGATTTGTGATATATACAGATGGATCCAAAAAATCAGGAAAGGTAGGTGCTGGAATTTGGGGCTTAAAGCCACGAATAAATGTCAGTATGTCATTGGGCACAACACCCTCTGTTTTCCAAGCAGAGGTGATGGCGATACTGGTAGGGGCTCAGAACCTGCTGGTATACAAAAATAGGAAGATAACTATCTTAAGTGATAGTCAAGCGGCTTTGAAAGCACTCTGTAACGATCAGGTGAATTCAAAGCTGGTCCTCGAATGCAGGGAAACTTTAGAATCACTATCGAGGTTCAACAAAGTTACACTAGCGTGGGTACCAGGACACAACGGTGTCACTGGAAATGAGAATGCTGACTTTCTAGCCAGGAAAGGAGCAGAGAACACCTATGTTGGACCAGAACCAGTGGTAGGGCTCACTGAGCAATCGCTCAAAGCGTTACCCAAGAATTGGTGCAGAGAACAACACAGGAAAATCTGGAAGTACTTGGTAGTACCTAGACAATCTAAAATGTTTATCAAGACCCCTGGTTTATTGCTGGGTGATCTTAATAGCATGACTAGACATCAAATAAGCACCCTGACTGGTCTACTGACAGGACATGGTCACCTGCTTAAGCATCTTAACGCAATGGGGGTATCGGAATCACCATTGTGCAGAAAATGTGGAGTAGAAGAGGAAGACTCATTTCACATCATGTGCGAATGTGAAGCCTTGTCCACACTAAGATCAAACTACTTGAATAAACCATTTCCTGAAAAAGAGGATATTAAAAACCTAAAACCCAGAGAGATACTTAATTTCGCCAGAAAGACAGGACTCTTTGGTCATCTCTAGAGGTGACTTTATGGTTGGTAATGTATTAACACTTTGGTGATAACACTTAGGTGGGTAAACCGAATCAAGACAATTCGGTATGAGGTGCGCACAATGGACCAACAGGTCTGAGTGCATGGGCATTATGTCCACCTCAATAATAACTAAAACTAAAACTAGAGACATAATCTAAATTAAATAAAAATTACATTGGAAGCCATAACCTCAAAAATAATATTAATAACTAAAGCATTATGATAACAATCTGAAAAATACTAGAAAAAAATTAATTTTGAATATATATTAAAATATTGATAGTATAAATTAAAATAAAGTACTATTCCCATGGTCTCAATATATCCAGAAGAAGAAAATAACAGCCAACTTGAACATTTTTCTCATCCGTATAATATATTGATGTTTTATAAGAACCATAGAAAAATTGTTTTGTAATATTTGTCTGAGTCATGTGTGATAGATCAAACCCATCCACATTGTAGAAGCCCTGGAATTATTTATAGCAGTTTTACTCAAAAAAATTATTTCATAATTATTTTTACTTATTCTTACAGGTTTCAAGGGACAATCAGTAAAATGGTGCTTCAAAATATATTCATTCCACACATTTCCCATAAGAAATTTTATACTTGAACATGCACCTTTATTTTTGTAAACGATTGCGTTATCTTTCCATCCTCCAATTTTTGACCAAACGGCCATGTTAAAGTTAAACTTCACAGTGAAAGACAAACTTTTAATTAATAATACTTATTTAAATAATTTTCATTCATAAATGATATATAACACAAAAACAGAACTTACGTATAATCTGTCATCTAACGGAATATTGAAAGTAACATTGCCCTTTAATAAGATTTGTGTTGGAGTAGGCTTTGATAAGTAATATTTAAATTTTAAGGGATAATCTATTGAAGCATTGCAAATAGAAGCATATTTGAATTTGTGTTTATATGGTCCCTAAAAATGAATAGAATCTATTATTTTGTAAAGCTAAACATTTTTTGTGAATATTTAATAAAATAGAGTTTACATTAAAATTTGTGAAAATCAAATAAAAAAACACATCATAGTAAAATTAATACCTTCTCAGCTTCGCATCGAAGCTAAAATCCAGCACAGGGAATTCGCGGCACAGTGGTGACGTGGCATAGTTGGATCAAGTATAATGATATCTGACAGGGATTAAAATAACTATTATAAAAAACGCTTCGATGCAAATCTTTAGATAGTGTTTAATTTAAAAAAATTGGTGGATTATTCCAAGAGTTACATGATCTGCTGTTTTTTTATTTATATCCTGATTTAGATAAAGTATGTCGAATGAAAAAGGGATATAAATATTTTTTCTCATAAAAAATTGTGTTGATCCATACACTTTTCAATAAGTTATAGCATTATAAAGTTAAATATGTAAAAAATAAAATCAAGAATTTTCACACAAAAATAGCATTTGGTAACCATTTTCACCGTAAAGACAAAATAAAGTCCGTAATTTTTATAAATTTAAATTAAGTAAAACAAATTGAAAAAATTTCGAACATTTGCGATTTTAAAATTTGTAATTTTTTTGGAGGTATCCCTCTTTTATGATAGTGATTAAAGTATGTCGAATGAAAGAGGTTTATGAATAGTATTTATCATAAAAAATTGTATAGATCCATATATTTTTCAAAAAGTTACAGTATTATAAAATCAAAATATAAAATAGAATATTTTTATTAGCTTTAATGTTAGTTTTCACCATGAAAACAAACATAAGTCTGAAATTTTTCTTTTTCATATTGAAATATATTAAATTAGATTTAATTTTATATATATATGTAACACTTTCCGGAACAATTTCAAAAGTTCAGTTGAAAAAGTTATACATTCTATATGCATTTTCAGATTTGAACCCCCCTGTATATAGGGAAATTGTCCCTTATAAAAAATTAAATATGTCGAATAAAAGAAATATATAAATATTATTTTTCTTCAAAAAATTATAATGATCCATACATTTTTCAAAAAGTTATAGCGTTTTAAAGTTAAAAATGTAAAATATAAGATCGAGAGTTTTAACACAAAAGTAGCATTTGATAGCCATTTTCACCACGAAGACAAGTCCAGAGGTCAAATTAATTTTTTCCATAATAAAGTACATTACATTAGCTTTAATTTAAGATATACATAAAAGTGTCAGACCTTCTAGAACATTTTCAAAGGTTAAGTTGAAAAAGTTAATTTTTTTGAAAAAATTGTCATTTTGAATCTCCCCCTTATTATGCATCTATAAAAAAAAAAATATATTGTTTTATTTTATTTTGAAAAAGTTATGACAGTTTTAAGTAAAAAAAATTGAAAAAATTTCGAAAATTAGCAATTTTTAAACTTGTAATTTTTTTGGAGGTTTCCCCCATTTACGGGGAACGAGGGAAATTTTTTCAATTTTTGAGGGTAATATCTTTGACTAGATACAATTTGTGATTATTTGACGTATCATTGAAAGAAATCGGTTCGGTGAGAGCTGAGAAAAAGTGGTAACTGACACAAAAATAAATAAATTAACACATCATAGTAAAATCAATACCTTGTCAGCTTTGCATCGATGCTAAAACGGTATCACAATGGAGTAGCCACACTGTATGGAGGTGGCATAGTTGGGACAAGTATAGATAGTTATAGCTATTTTCAAATCTACAGTGAGTCTTTATCTATCACTTTTTGATATTATATTCAACTTTTAAAATATATAACAATTAATAATTATAATTATTAAATTAATTATTATTATTAAATAATATATGTATAATTATATATACATATAATGAAATAATTAAACAAAAAAAATTGTTTTTAAATTATTACTGATTTTTAATTTTTAATATGTTAAAAATAATCAGCGCAAAATATCATTTTAAACCTACTTTTTGGTTTTTTAAAGTTGATTTTTATGAAGGTTTATAATAAAAAAACATTAATTTATTACCATAACTTTTAGCTCAACTTGCATGTTTTAAATAAATAAAAACACAATAAACACTGAATAACTGTATTTTAGTAAGTCAATTAACCACTGATTAAAGAAAGCTTATCGATCTATTGTTACCATTTTACAAGCTAAAGGTTTATAAAAATAATGTCAAATAAATAATAACATAACATAACATTGCTTATATTTATTTTACAATTGACGGTCATACTGCAACCAAATTACTGAAGCATTTTCTCTTGTTAGTATATTTTATTACAACATTTACTAGAATTCTAAAATTTTACTAAAAATATTTATTTACTGGGTAGAACAAAATAGCAAATACTTGACTTCAAATTAATAAAAAAAAATGTTCAATAGGTTTAACTAAGAACCATTCATAACAATTGGTTATGTGTCTTTATATTATATAAAAGCATACATGACAAAAATATAATTTTAGACATTTTAGTACTTTCATTTTATATTTTGTTTTTTATTATCCATCTAATAATGAAAGCTGTACTTTAAAAAATGTATTCAATTCTATAAATACTAAAAATATAAATAAAAAATTAACTTGCATTGTACTATTATTAGATATTAAAATTTCGAAATAATTTATTTCATGAAGTTATTTTTCGAGTTACGTTCTTATTATATAATAGTATAATATAAATGCATTAAATAAACCTAAGAACTTACGACTGGAAGATTCGGCATGAGGTGCGTTCTTTCCATACAAAATATTGTATTCAATAAAATAAAAACGATAATTGAAATAGTTTTTTTTAAAAATTGGCCCATTATAAATTTAAACGATTGTATAAGATCAACACAATACATGTAATATACTATAAACTATAATGAAAATTAAAAAAATATATGTCCATGATGTTTTTTGCTTGTGAAAATTAGAGGTATTAAAATTTATTCATTTCCGCCAAAATGACGTTTGAAAAAAAGTGTGATGGTCATATCAATTATATCTACTTTTTAACTTATAGTACATAAAATAAGCTTTAATTTAACATATCTTTAAACCTTGGAGTATTTCTAGAAGATAAATTGAAAAAAATTAAATTTTTCTGCAAAAGTTGCTATTTTGAAATTTATTCGTAAATAAAGAAATATACATAATCGTTTATATCATCTTGTTAATGTTGGATTACATTCTTATTGTATTAGTAATGTATTATCAAATACTAGCAATAACTTAGTTTTGGAAGATATGACATAAGAGGCGTTCTTTCCATACAAAATATTGAATTAATAAACAAATAATTAATAATAAAATCAATGAAAAAAGATATAACATCATGGATAAAAGCATGTGAAAAATGTCAAAAAACAAAAACATACAAACACACAATTATCCCAATCGGCAATTTTAATCCACCAAGTGGTCGTTTCGAACACATACACATTGACATTGCTGGACCATTACCACCATCTAAAACTTATAAATACATATTAACTATGATCGATAGGTTCAATAAGTGAAGCACTAAAGTATTGTAATATTCACGCATATTACTTTTAAATAATCCTTAAAATGTTTGGATATAAATTATATGAAAAGTACAATGTTTTAAAAATTGTAATATGTTCCAAACTGATATCATAATAATGTTTTGTAATTGAAAACTATCAATTATATAGTAAAAAGGCTGCAGTAGCAGTCTCTTCTTTTATTCGCTCTTTTTTGTAGTGCATCAGCACAGGAGTGCAGTAGTTACTGGGTAGTAAATAATACCGTAGAACAATATAGACATAGTAGTATAATAAGCTAGCTAATTAGCTATTTGGAACAACACGGTGAAAAGTGAGTAAGAAACTATCTGAACTGACGTATGCTTCGTGACACTTACAAATCTTACTTCGATATTCAAATTATTTCTACCTGACTACAATTTATAATAAGATCTTAGACTAAGACAACGAAAAGGTGAGTCAATTGTCATAATCCCTGTCATGGATTTTAATTACTATAAGAGTATTGATTGTTTTTTAATAGTAAGGTTTTTTCGAAATCATTAATATAATAGTAATTAATTTTTAAATATTTAAAGAATACACGGCAAACACACATTTTAAAAAATCTTAGGAACAGGACGTTTATGCCGTTGCCGGCGTTACACTAGGCAAAGAAATCTTTGCCGGCACCACTCGAGGAAGAAGTTACCCGAGCGAGGCTGTGTTAACACACATGTTAATCGGGCTTAGTTAACACACACAAAACCATATTCTTACAATTTAATGCATCAACAGAATAATTTCATACCGTAAATTATTTTAATAACCTTATTATTTTTGAACCCTCGAACCACGAGCTGGATAAAATATAGTTATTAATTATATACAGGGTGATTTTTTTATCATAACCCACTCAATTAATTGGAGAATAAAAATAATTTAAACATTTTTTTTTTTCATTATCTTTAGTTACACATTATTCTTGAATTTTTAACTATGTAATACTTTTTAAGTTCATCCCTTATGCCTTGGAGGGGGGTCAACTTTGTTTTTTTCAATGGTAACATATATTTTTAATTTAATAAAATATTTGAGTTTTTAATTTAATAGTAAATGGCATTTGAATTTTTAATATAACTTTATTAGTTTATTAGATATAAACATTTAAAGTTTCAAAATTTTGAGTTAATATATATGTATAATACACATGGGATTGTAAATACAGGTAGCTAATTGGATTTTTATGACATTGCTGTCTCAGTCAC